TTCTCGTCGGCCAGGCGCTGGGCGGTGGGCAGCACCTCGGTGTGGTGGGCGCTGATCAGGTACTGCACGAACTTCTGCAGCTGGTCCCGGTTCATCTGGGAGAGGGTCTCGGAGATGGGCAGGCGCCGGGATGCGGTAGAGCGACAGCGCCACCACGTGGGCGCAGTAGAAGATGTCCCGGTTGTCGCAGGTGCAGCTCACCGACGTGATCTTGCAGCGGTCGAAGCTGATGGAGACGGGGAAGCTCCGCTCCAGCTCGCTGGGACCGCCCGGCTCCGTCACACGCCCGCTTAGGTGGAAGCCTGGGGACAGGAGGCAACAGGGTGGCTGGGGAGTGGAAACGGGCCCCTGCTCCAACCACTAGTCCCCACTCCCTTCCCCAGCCAAGGGGTAGAACCCAGGAGTCCTGATCCCCAGCCTTTCCTGCTCTACTCACTAGACACTGCTCCCTCTCAGAGCCTTCCCCAACCTGGGGGGAGAACCCAGGAGCTTTGGGTCCTAGATCCCCTTGCTCTACCCACTAGACACCACTCCCCTCCCAGAGCTGGGGGAGAACCCAGGAGCTTTGGGTCCTAGACCCCCCCGCTCTACTCACTAGAAGCCTCCTGCCCATTGTCTATGGGGATTGAGAGCTCTCTGGGGCAAGGACCGTTTCTCCCCATGTGTCTGGGCAGCATCTGGTGCACAAAGGCTCTCAAAGTGCTGCCAAGGGGTGGATCCCGTGGCCCGTGACTCAGTTTCTCTGTCACAGACTCACAGCAAGGTGGGGCGGGAGGCACCTCGAGAGGTCCCCATGTCCAGCCCCGTGGGCTGAGGCAGGGCCAAGGAACCCACCACCTTCCCTGAGAGGAGTTTGTCCAGCTGGCTCTTCGGCCCCCGCAGCCTCCCTGGGATGTTAGAGCTGCCCTGCCCACGGTGTTCGCAGGCCCCCCAAACTCCCCTGCCACAGATCGAACCGGGGCCAGTGGCATTCACCCGAGAGCTCCGAAAGAACTCAAATGGGAAAATTCACAGTGGTCTGTAACCGAGCCTTTCCATCGGCTTCGGTACCGAGTGCCTGGACCAGAGCTAATGCGATGCCAATACTCAAAAAGGGCTCTAGAGGCGATCCTGGCAATCACAGAGCGGTAAGTCTAACGTCAGTACCGGGCAAATTAACTGAAACTATAGTAAAGGAGAAAATTGTCAGATACCCGGATGAATATAATTTGTTGGGGGAAAGTCAACATGGTTTCTGTGAAGGGAAATCCTGCCTCATTAATCTGCTGGAGCTCTCTGAGGGGGTCAACAAACATGTGGACAGGGGGGATCCAGTGGAGATAGTGGACTTAGATCTCCAGAAAACCTTTGACAAGGTCCCTCACCAAGGGCTCTTATGTCAAGTAAGTTGTCATGGGATAAGAGGGAAGGTCCTTTCGTGGGCTGATCACTGGTTAAAATCCAGGAAACAAAGGGTGGGAATAAACGGTCAGTTTTCCGAATGGAGAGTTAACGAGCGGGGTCCCCCAAAGGTCGGTCCTGGGACCCAGCCTATTTATAAATGATTGGGAGAAAGGGGTGAACAGATGATTGCAAAGTGCCCAAGATAGTGAAGTCCAAAGCAGACTGTGAAGGGCTAATCACCAAGCTAAGGGTATGTCTACACTACCCCCCTAGTTCGAACTAGGGGGGTAATGTATGCATACCGCACTTGCTAATGAAGCCTGGGATTTGAATTTCCCGGGCTTCATTAGCAAGTTCAGTATGCATACATTACCCTCCTAGTTCGAACTAGGGGGGTAATGTATGCATACCGCACTTGCTAATGAAGCCTGGGATTTGAATTTCCCGGGCTTCATTAGCAAGTTCAGTATGCATACATTACCCTCCTAGTTCGAACTAGGGGGGTAATGTATGCATACCGCACTTGCTAATGAAGCCTGGGATTTGAATTTCCCGGGCTTCATTAGCAAGTTCAGTATGCATACATTACCCTCCTAGTTCGAACTAGGGGGGTAATGTATGCATACCGCACTTGCTAATGAAGCCTGGGATTTGAATTTCCCGGGCTTCATTAGCAAGTTCAGTATGCATACATTACCCTCCTAGTTCGAACTAGGGGGGTAGTGTAGACATACCCTAAGTGATTGGGCAACAAAATGGCAAATGAAAATGAATGTTGATGAACGTAAAGGGATGCACATTGGAAGAAAGAATCCCAGCTCTCCATACAGTCTGACGGGGACTCATTTAGCTACAACTCCTCGAGAGAGAGAGAGATCTCGGAGTCACTGTGGAGAGCTAACGGAGGCCAGGCTGGGTCAGACCAAAGGTCCATCTAGCCCAGTGGCCAATTCCAGGTGCCCTAGAGGGGCAGGAACAGACCAGGAAATTATCAAGTATTCCCTCTCCTATCACTCACTCCCAGCCCCTGACAAACAGGCTAGGGGCACCATCCCTGCCCAGCCTGGCCAATAGCCCTGGATAGACCTAACCTCCATGAGTCTATCTGGCTCTTTTTTGAACCCTGTCAAAGTCCTGGTCTTCACATCCCCCGGCAAGGAGTTCCACAGGTTGACTGTGCGTTGGGTGAAGACAAACTTCCTTTCGTAGCCGAGGCGAATTCCCCAGGCCCTGCTGACTTGCATGCAGCTAATCTAGCCCAGCCTGGCCAATAGCCCTGGATAGACCTAACCTCCATGAGTCTATCTGGCTCTTTTTTGAACCCTGTCAAAGTCCTGGTCTTCACATCCCCCGGCAAGGAGTTCCACAGGTTGACTGTGCGTTGGGTGAAGACAAACTTCCTTTCGTAGCCGAGGCGAATTCCCCAGGCCCTGCTGACTTGCATGCAGCTAATCTAGCCGCGTCGGGGCTTGTGCTCCGTCCCCTCAGCCCTCTTGGCGCCCGGGGTTATTAAGTGT